TGGAGACGTGGCGCACACAACATGAGCTGGCATTTTCTTCAATTGATGCAACTCAGTAATTTTTATTGCAACTGGAAGACAATACATCACAGAAACTTTATGGTAGGTCTGGGGAAAGTGTTATTTACAATAAATGATGAAATAGTTTGTCTTTGGCAATATGATTACATATGAAGAATGCAAAATGCAAGTACGGGATGCCTGCAGAGTGTAACACCTCCGGGTCCCTAGCGTTCGGCTGATCACGCCTGCCTCCACACTGCTCCTTCAGAACACAAACCCAACGGAACATCACTTTCCTTCTCCTTTATGGTTCTCCCTTTCTATTCATGATATTGGCAGTTTCATACAGAAAATACAGAAAAAAAAATTGGCTTGTGAAAAATTATTACTCTAGTAAATGGATTTGGCCATGTAGGTCTGTTGGCCAGCAAAGGTCAGACAACCCTAAGCATTGATAGAAAACCTCTTGGTCTTCTGATTGCTTGATCACTTTTTTTTTTTTTTCTGTAAAACAAAAACAAAAACTCAGAAATGTTACAGAATCAGAGTATAAAAAATGTACAAGTGTATAATGCTTCCCAGACACACAGAGACTGTCCTCCACGTTTTCACCATGGCCTTGTAAGTAGTGTGAATGAAGTGGCACGAACTGGTGACTGAGTCAGCCATGAGCTGATGGCCTCGACACACACACTAAGAGATGCTGGGTGTTAAAATAACTGAAATTGTGCTACATTTCACCTAAAAGGGAAAAAAAGGGGGTGAGGAACTCAGGCCACAGTCTTGAAAGGATGAAATCCAATTTCTAGGTTTGATAGGTTCACCATATCGAAGTCTTTGAGAATCCAATATGGAATATCAATTCTTTGCAAAAGCCCAAGAAGGAGGTTCTCGACTTTTGCAAATGAAATACAGTGGAAAACACTGTGGTATAGTTTCCAAATAAATAGTCTTGATTTCAATGCTAAAAAAACGAACAGGAAGGGTACTTGTGAGCACATTACAGTAAGTCAGAGTGATCTTTCACCTAGGTCTGGATTTCGAAAGTAGGGGTTCACAACACAAGGCAGCACCATAGACACATTGGTTTCGGCTGTTAAAAGATGGATCATTTTAAAAATCCTATTTTCCTTCCTTAGTTTTTGGTCAGTGAAGCTAGCACTTGTTTGCTGAACTGTGGAAGAATTGCAAAGTCACATGTATTATTCATGATAAAGCAACCGAGCTGACCAGTCTGTGCTTAGTTCAAGAATAATCAGTGAGAGAGAGAAGACAAGGAGTCAACCCGGGTGGCCGGAGCTCGCGCACAGGAAGGGTTAACAGATGAATCCACAAAGGTAGGCGGGTCTATACAGAACACTGAATGCCATGTGTAAATCCTCATGGAACTCCAGAAACAGGAACACCACACACTGTATATACTTCGATTTACACATTCCGTTACAAAGGAAAAAAAGAAAAAGACACCATTACAACTTTGTAACTGTGTTAACTGCAATAGAAACCAAAGTCCAGAGTCTGGCAGGTAACTAAAAGAGGGTGGTTATCACTTAGGTTATATAGCAAAAGTGTTGATGTATATTATATATAGTAGTATAAATAATAAAAAAGTATTATTTAAATTAGATCACAGTGCTGCATTATGTGCATAACAGTGTTTGATATAGTATTGGCAGGCTGGGGCCGACTACACTAAGGATTAACTGTCAACATTGGAAAGTCACAATCAGGGGACACAGGCTTCAAATGTGTTCTTTTGGTGGCAAGAATCCTCAAGAGGAAAGAAAAATACTTCTCTACAGAAACAAAAATAAATGGCAACATCTGGGCAGCTGTGATCCACCAGGAAGAAACACATCCCAACCTGAATCAAGTTTAAAGGGAAAGAGAAGTCACATTGAATTTAGTTCAACCCCATAGGGCTGGCCCTCCCCTGTAGGTCACTTGGACAGGACTGATTTCCTCTAAGAGCCCTTCAAGGAGAGGCCCAGGAGCCAGGCGGGCTGGCTCCCGCCACTGGCCCCACAGCCTGGAAAGGGGGTGCAGTGGTCTCCCCCAGAATGCCCTCGGGGTGGTAACTGCCCTGCCCAGCAAGGGCCAGACACACCGACCACATCTTCAAGAAAAGGAGTGCTTGGGAAGGGCCGCCGAGACATCCCTTCCAAAGCACGCAGCCCCAGCCTGAACCTAGCGCAGCTGTCTGGGGAAGGAAGTAGGAGCTTGTGGTATAGAATAAGGCTGGGAAGAATTGATGCTGTAAATCCTGTGCATGTAGTACTAGGTAAAGAGGACAGGTTACTTGTAGTAGCATACGAAGAACTGTCTAGGTGTCTATGGTTTAAGGAAAAAAGAGCTGCGGCTCTTTCTCCTAAATGCGTCCGAGGGCCAACAGCAAGTCTCGGTGGATGTCACGGTGCTGACGTGTTCACGGTTGTTTCCAAAGCATCTTGAAATATTGCTATAGTTCCCCGTTTCCCCTCCCCCCCCACCCCATGTGAGTATGTGAGATACTGGAATGACACACAGAAGGCCACTTCCCCCCGGGGGAGAAATGAAAGCCAGGCATTACAGCCCTGGCTTGGCGCTCAGGCGCGACTGTCAAGACTCATGAAGACGAAGGCTAGTTTGGAAGCTAAAAGAAACCTGAAGTGTGGGAAGGAATTCCAAGACTGAAGTGAATTACACTTGAGGAAAATATTCTTTCACAAATAGGCTTGTGCTTAAGTTCTCTACTGCTCTTGGAGGAGGGGGTGAGAGGGTACCTCCTGCCCCTTGGCTTGGTGAGGACACGGACGGACAGCCTCATTCCGCAATGAATTCATTCACTACAAACAGCCACAGACACATTAATACATTTTTTTTTTCTCAACAATCAAAATACAAAGTTAAACACAATTGAGCCATTGTTTTGGTTATGCATAATGTGTATGCCTCCAAAAACAGAAGAAAAATAGAAAAAAGTACCCTCACTAAAGTTTCCCCTGTAAGCCTCTCAGCAGCTTCCACCAAGGCGCTGAGGGAGACTCAGGAAAAATAACACTTAGAAAGCTGCCCGATGAGGTATTTATGCAAAAAGAGTGGTTCTGGAGTTAAGAACACACTTTTATATTTATCTATTTCTCAAAGAGATCAGAAAAGTAAATCACACACATTGCATTTTATTATTTTCTAAAAGAGGCCTTGGCTCCTTTAGAAAATGAAATGAGGGGAGCAGCCCACTGTGGGGCTTTTCAGAGGAAGAAGTCTCCTGCCAGAAAACACCCCTGGATGTTCACCTCTGCCTTTCAGGAGGAAAAGTCTGAATTTAATCATGGGGGGGTGGGGGGGACATCAACGTTTGACCTCAGGGGTGGGAGAGGGGTCTTTTGCGCTTGGTCAGGTGATAACCCAAGTCGCGGTGTTGCTCAGGTTCGGAAGCTGTGAACGGCTCTTGGGGTGTCAGGTGATGGAAGGGACAGAGTGTTTCAAAAACACAACTGTGTTCTCATCTACTACACCCTGAACATATGCCTGGAAGTACTTGGGCTCAGGCTCTGAATTCCACCTGTTGTAGAGGTGTGGGCTTTTTTCTGGTTCTGCCATGAGCATAAGCTTGGGCTGAGCCAGTCAGCTCCAGCTGGCCTGGTGCACGGAGCACCCCCACCCCCCAGGGCTGGACACTGGCCCACAGCCGCACCCTGTCCTTGGCGTCCCTCCCAGACACACAGTGGGTGTTTTTGTGCTATTTCCTTCCATTTGGGTAGAAGACCACATTCTTTTAGCGACCTCTTTGGATCCCCCCCATATCATTTCTTTCTGGCAAAGGTGACAGGAGTTTCTGGTCTGTGTGACATCATCCGGTTGTCTAAATTCAGCTCTCACAACCTAGGTGGCCTTAAATCCAGGTTGGTTCGTGTGCTGAGGTGGTGAGACGGCCGGCCCCTCCTTCCCACTGTGAAATGGCGTCACAGGAACACACCTGGGGCTGGTCACCTGTGTTACTTCGCCTTCACGAGTACCCTAACTCACACCCTCATCCAATAAGGCCCATTAGCGTGTTTCCCCTTCTCCTGACAAATTTGCATAATTATTCACTGCCTTCTTCCAAGAACCAAATCACGGTCAGGGTTTCCTCAAGTCAGCGTCCCATAATTCTCCTGATTCTATCATACACACTCACTACTGAGTTTGCCCTCAAATTATTGCGTCATGGTAAACATGTACAGACAAAGAGAAAGGACACACTTCAACAGAGAATCAGAGGGGTGGGGCTGAAGCGCAGACAAGGCAGTACAGAGCTCCACCATCCAGGCCCTACCAGAACATGAAGAGATTTTTATATTGCAAAGTAAGTTCCCCAACAGTCAGAATTTGTCCCTGAAGAAGGTTAAACCTTAAACACCTGCTTCAAAAAACCAAAGCAAAATAATTGGGAAAAAAAAATAATAATTAAAGAAAGAAAAAATAAAAAGAAGAAAACCAAAAGAACCTCTAAGCCTAAGGGCTTCAAAATTAGAGGCATAGCCTTTTCTCTATTTTCTATATTTATATGAAAATAATTCATGCTTCATGCTAAATACATTATTTACCTTACAAGAACTTTGTTATTTTTGAATAAAAAAAAGTTTGTGTTTTTGTGATTTTTTTTCTTTTTTTTTTTTTCTCTTTTTTTAAAGGAATCCATGCATTGTGGATCAGAAATTTCTGCTGGCTACACTGGCTTAATGTGGAAATCACTGATTTTCATAAGGATGAATCCTGACTGACATCAATTGCAAACTCCATTTTGAGGGCAGTATAGGAGGTTGGTGTATGTTTTTTTGTTTTGCCATGTTTTACTTTTTTGTGTCCATCAATGTGCCTTTAATCTTTAATACACCACAATTACTAATGGCCGGTTCCCTAGCTCCCCCCCCCCCCCCCCACCCAACTTGGATCAAATCGTTTTGACAGACAGAAAAAGTTTTGTACCATTATTTCCTTCCTTAACAGCTACATACTTTCTTGGACTTGATTCACTTGGGCAATTAAGAAGACACAGCTTGTTTTCTCTCATTCTCTGTCCCTCGTGTGTGTGTGTGTGTGTGTGTGTGTGTGTACACAGGGCCAACCTTCAGGCGTATGGCTTGCAAAACATCCTCTTAATTTAATATAGAACAGAATTCAATGTTAGCAATATCACTAAAAACTGACCTCGTTTCTTCTCGTTAGTCACGGACACCTGGTGACGTGGATGCCCAGTGCTCACCTTTTACAACGTTGCTGGGCTTCCTGGCTAAGCAGCACAGAGGCCTGGAGACCGACCTGTGCACACAGGCGGCCTCGTCAAGGGCCTGCTAGGCAAGACCTGCAGCCCCGTGCCCCAGCCTGGGTCTGTAGGGACAGGGCTCTCCCTTCTCCTGACTGCCTTGTGTACACTCACTCCGTGATGCCCCTGGGCGGTCACCCTGACCTCTGAGACCTACTGGCGGGGCCTGGGAGATGACTACTTTGACAAATGCCTCTAGGTGTCGAGTGTTATCCATCCCATGGCCTTCTCGCTGACATCCCTGCGGGTTCAGCCACATGTTCCTGACAAGCTGGAGGAAGCAATGGTAATTTTGGCTTTTTCGGTTTTGTCTTCAGATAATGAAAAGCTTTTGTAAAACAGCTGAGTGTCAATATGAGTTCTATGGCTTCAATCTCCTTTAAAAGTAAAATTCTTAAGGGTCCCAAACAAAGGAGGGGGGGCAAAGTAAAAAAAAAAAAAAAGGAAGAAAAAGAAAGAAAACCAAACCAAAAAGAAAAAAAAGTAAATTGCTGATATTGCCACAAATCATTAGAAATCTCCTGACATGCTGAAACCAAATGGCCGTAAGTTCAAAACAAATCAGTGACTTGTTTTTAATTTTTCGTGGTTTCCTTTTGCTCTTTCTGCCCCTTTGCCGTCCGATTGGTGATGTTATTCAAACAGGACCGAATCCCTGCTAAGTGCAGGAGGGATCCCGCGGCCTCCTTCATCTCCTCGTCGTCGCTCTCGGGGGGCTTCTCCGTGCGTCTCTTTTTGAGGGGCAGCGTGTCGCTGGGGACCCTCCTGGCCTTGGCGAGGTGCTGGCGCTTCTTGTGCTGGGCTGCGTAGCCGCTGTCCCCCAGCGCGCCCTCGGCCTCCTTCGGGCTGCGCTTCCTGTCGTCGTCCTCCGTCTCGCTGTGGCTCTCGTGGCTCTGGAAGCTCCCCTCGCTGCCCTCCTGGCTCCCCTTGGTGGCAAACTCGTAGTGGTCGTCGGCCGAGGAGGAGGAGACCGAGTCGCTGGCGGGGGAGGTGCTCCGGGCGGCGGCGGCCGTGGCGCTGCTGTAGTTGTGGTCCTCCTTGGGGTCTCCGCTGACCACGGGGGAGCCGCACGACGGCTCGCTCTCAGTCCGCATCCGGCAGCTGGGGAGGCCGTTCCTGCAGGACAGGCACGGGGAGGAAGACAGGACACGGATTAACCCCTGGGGAAGCCGGACAGCGCCCCTGCGGCTACGCGTCCGGTCTTGTGACGCCCCCTGCGGCCATTTGCAAACGTGGGACAGCAGGTTAAAGCGCAGCACTGAGAAGCCTAAGCCACTTCCGCATGAGTTCGATCCCCGCCTGCCCCGGAGGTAACCACATGGCGCGGCAGACCTCTCCTGACCCACCCGCTGCTCCCCTCAGCAGTGTACTTCATTGACCTGCCTGTTCTGCTCCCCACTCTGTCTCTGGTGAAGCCTCTCACAGCCCCTGCACCTCTGGCCTGTACCCCAGTTCTATGTGCATAAATAAATCTTAAAAAAAAAAAAAAAGCAAACCAGGGTTCTGAGTCCAGATACTGAGCTCCCTGCTCATGCCCCACCATGGGCGTTTTCACCGTGTGAGGCTGAGCGGTCAGAGTAACCCTGTGTTCAGAGTAACGCTCTGCTCAGTGGCGGCCCAGGAAGGGCGTCTCTGATATGGGGCAGGGGCACCAAGCCGCGCTGGGTTTCATGTACCCGCGGTGGCGCAGACACCGCTAGGCAAGGGTGCCTGCGAGGGAAAGACCCACTCTCCTCTAAAGCCTTTTGCCGGAAGACTACATGCGGTGCTCAGAGATCCTTGTCATGGGTGACAGCCAGTCCCTCATCCACGCTCTCAACACTCACTGAGCGCTTAAAACAAACGCAGCCTTGGGGAGGGCTGGGGGCAACTCCGGGGGGGCATCAGACATGCGCCTTTACAAAGATGCTCACAGCCTCAAAGAGAAGCAACTCGTCTCAGAGCACGGTCTCCGACTCCTGGAGTCCCAGGAGGACTCCGCCGACTCGGAGGCCATTAGCGGGCTTCTCTTACAGGTGCTGGAAGTGAGGCGGGAGAAGCTGAGTGGCAGACCCAGCAATTAAGCAGCAGGGCTGGGGTCAGAACCAAGGTCTGACCCCCCAGCTCGAGCCTCACCTACATCAGCTTGCCCGGGGGGCTTTTCCAGCATCCCTGTAACCTCCCCTCCGGCTCTCCCTTCCGCAGATGTGACAGCAGCCTGCACACTCTGGCTGTTTTGCCAGTCTCCCAGTCTGAGCGAGTGTGGTCTCCCTGGGTGCTCTATTTGCCAAGTGGGAAGGCTGGCCAGGGGTGCGCCTGGCCAGGGGTGCGCCTGGCCTGGGGGCGCCTGGAGGCTTATTCCTGGATAGGCTGTGCATGCTGCGGCAGCTGTACGCTCAGTACCCGGCACACTGTAGGACTCAGAAAAGGCACCGGCAGAGAGAGAGGAGGCTGGCAGGAGCGGTTACTGATAGCCGTAGGGGTATGGGGCAGGACAAGGGAAAGGTCCCAGGAAGACCAGGCATCTGGCCTTGAGTGCGAGAGGTTTCCAGCAGGGTGGAGAGATGTTCTCTTGCACCACCATGCAGTTGCAGTTCTACGATCTCTGGAGAACCAAGCACTTTTCCTTTCTAGACAAGCCCTGGGATAAGCACTCGATGTTCAGCCCATGGCACGACGAACCCCCAGCTTTATGACCTGCAGACCGAATGTCTGCTTTCTCTTAGCATGAGCACCAGACGGGGCCCAGGCGCTGGCAGCGTCCAGCTAGTGCCGAACCAGGCGCAAAGCAGCCACACTGCAGGGAGGCTGAGGAAGCATGCAGTGGTGAGGCATGTGGCAGATGACAGCCACGTGCCTTCCAGCTTCCAGGACACTCCCTGAGGACCTGGCAGTGGGGGAAAAGGCCATGGGGTCAGGTCGCTGGTCAGATGAGTCTCTGGCCTGTCTTTGTTTGCTGCGACTTGTGGATTTTGAGGTTCAGAGAGACCCTGGTTGCTCCCTCACATCTAGCAAGTGGGGAAGCCCTAGAGGAAGTGGATCAGCAGGAGTGAGGGTAAGGTCCCCCCTTCCGTCCGCACTGCTAAATTCAAGCTGGTGGTGAGACGCCCCACCAGAAGCTGCACCTGCAAAACACACGAGTGTCATTTTTATGACAGCCTTTGCCAGATGCCTCACGAGGATCACGATAAACCCACCGGTGCACAGAAGTCCCAGAACCTCCGGGAGGGTCCCAGCCAGTGTCGTGTTCGGGTGGTCTCACCCCACCCCGAGACTGAACCTCAAGTCCTCGAGATTTCTGTTCACATTCTAGAATTGTTTCTGAGGGGCCTTCAGCATGCTTCCCTTCTACCTCACAGCAGGATGAGGGTAAGCGCAAGCTCCAGGCTCCAAGGTGGGCCTTAGTGGGGTGTGAGGGTTCTGATCTGGTCCCTCTTGCCATCAGGTTGCTCACGCTGCATCATGACGGCCCACACTGAGCAGACTAATTTTCTCTTTCCGTGCTGGGCGAGGGCTTATGGGAAGGTGGCATAAAACACAAGTAAGAGCCCCCAGAGAGAAATCCTCCTGGGCTTCCTGTGAACACAGCCCCTGAGCTTGGGGAATGGATCCCACGACATCTCTTTTCTAGAGACGTTCTGTTGCTTGGCTCTGTCTCAAGTGCGTAAAAGTGGCCAGAAAAAGGTTCTCTGAGGCGCTACCAAACATGGAACCTGGTAAAGGGAACATATTGAGTGGAAGCTACTGTTATTCAAAGCCTTGGGTAATAGTGCTGTTGATCTTTGTAGCTTCAGGTAATGAGAGTGAAATACTAAAATAATTCATCTAGTCAACTAACACCAAACAGCTTCAGCATCAACCCAGATACCCACATGTGAGGAAGCTGGGCTAGGTCTGCCTCTTAGAAAAAATCAATTCATTTCTGAATTCTTATTTTTAAATAGCACTTAGATTCACTTCTCTACCATCACTGAGCAGAGAGGATGCCTCTGAATATGTACCAGGAGGGAGTGGGGGCCCCGAGTTGTGGGGGGCCGTGTAGCTGGCTGAGAGAGAAGTAAGGCAGTGCTATGAACCCTGAATTCTTAGTGGGCCAGGGCAAATGTGTTCATTGTGCCTTTCTCTTTAAGTTCGGGGTATACTGTGGGAGAAATGCCCTGGAAAAAAGCAAAGCCAGAACACCTTTGCTGCCTTCTGTCACAAGAGGAAACATTCTGAGTCTGAGTATGTCTCTGAAATGAGGTAACTAAGCACGTAAGAGGTGAGACGATGCACAGGCACTAAGCTGTGGCTTTCTTCTTAAAGGGATCACAGGCACAGAAGCAAATCAGGAAAGAAAACCACCTCTGGGGCGCTGAGCCAGCGCTGCCCCCAGCGGGGCCTCGGCAGGAGTCTCACTCCTGGCCGAGGGCTCCAGAGCACAGCACCTGGGCGCTGGCAGGCCCAACCACGCTACAGGCGCGCAGCGAGCCCAGCGAGCCCAGGGATTCGGCCAGGGCGAGCGTCCAGTGCTCACTCACTGTTCCAGCAGGAAGGAAAGAAGTGGACTGTGATGAAGACAGGAGACCGACACATCCGTCGACAACGCTTCCAGCTGGAAGCGGACAAGCAGGCGCAACGTCAGGAGGTTCAAATGAGCACAGAACACATCTCTTTCCTGCGAGACACACCACGTTTTCCCTGAGACCTGACCTGGGCTCATCACCCAGTAAATCACACTCCAGTCAGCAGGAACGGGGTGCCTGATGGGTCAAGCTGCCCCGACCTGCTCCCCTCAGGGCTGGTCATCACGTCATCGTGTCATCCCACAGAAAAGGAGGTTCCACGTTCCCTGCCTCACCCAAGGAAGGGTGGAACTGAGCAGCAGGGAGAAGCTAAAATAGATTGGAGGAAAAGAAGGGAAGGAGAGAGGGGCCGGAGGCGGCACAAGAGCAGGGGGACACGTGACAGAAGCGCACCTGCTTCTTGGCTGACCTTGGACTTGTACCCAGGACATGGAAAGAGACTGGGACATGGGTGAGAGGTCTCTGGGGAGGCTGACAGGGGCAGCTTTATCTTGACGTGGGTTTTGGTTTTGCTCTTCTCCTCCAGACCTGCCTGGATCCTTCTGCCTCTTCCCTGTGGGTCCCACCCGAAGGTGGCTTAGACGGCGGCAGCTTTCAGGCCTCAGTGGTCCCACGCTGGACCAACGTGTTTGGCTGGGCATTTACCCACAAGGGGATGGATAACTCTGGGGCTTCATGGGCAAGGTTTTTAAACTTCATCTCTTCTTTATTATACAGCCACTGTAATAAATTTCTTTCCCATTGAGGGTGTCACACACTAACAATATGTTTTACCTTTATATGGTGGATGGCAGAATCCATTTAGAGCAGGCAGGTTTGGGGGTCCTGCCTGGAGTGTCCCACATTCTGCCTGTTAACAATCACAGGGCCCAAATGCTTCAAAGAGGAATCCAGTGACCCTGAATGTGTTGTGAGGTGACTTTCTAACCACCTCTTCAAAAATCATTCATTAAAATGAACATGTAATGTATCTGAACTGTCTGCAATTTTTCAGCTTTAAGCTGAATTGATAGGTAACAATATCCATAATTAACATAGGTTAGCATAAATTAAAGCAACCTGATTTTACCAGGCCCCAATAAAACCATGTGCTATTAATTTCAAATAAAAATCTACTATTCATTTTCTTGTCAAGGAGATGGGAAATATTGAACATAAAAGGTGCAGGTTGAGAATGAACAATGCTTGCAGTAACATGCTAAGGGGTAGCTTCTGATTACACATGACCGTTCTGCCTCACTCTTTACCTGCTCGCTATTTATTCTGTTATATGTAATTAGCCCATGTTGCCTCTACCTGTCACCTGGGTACTGCGGTGCCCTCTAAAACGGGTAGTTTTAAAATTAGAGGCTATTCACTAATAAATGCTCCCAAGGGATTTATTAGATAATGCTGATTTATTGCAAAGTGTGAGAAAAAAAGAGAAGTTACTGAAGCTGTGCTGCAGCTGGAGCCAACACAAAGCTTCTGTCTAAACCAGCCAGAGCTAGAAAGATGAATGAGGAGAGATGACCAAAGGCTTCCATGTCCAGCTGGGTAGCACAGAAGAACGTGGATGGCATCCTTCAAAAG